AAAAAAAAAAAAAAAAAAGAAAAAGAAACAAAAGTAGTGTTAACTCACAAATTTGTCCAGGTGGCAGACACCATAAAATAAGACATTTAAAATTCTACAATAAAGCAAAATAATAGCAAAAATATTGCTATTTGGTGTATACAAAGTCATATATCATGAGCATGTGTTTTTGAAAAAAATTATTAAACCAAATGTAACCATTAAGTTGAATAAGCGTGACTCATAAGTTATAGGTTATAATCACAAAGCAACATTTTTTCTGGTCTCCCATTTTCCCTTTTACTTTACAGCAATTAAATTAATGAATTTAGGTTATTTTGAGGGAAAATATTCTAATTTAGTTATTTATAGGGCCTTGGGACAAAATACATAAATTTTTCTTTAAGTTTCATTTTCCTTACCTCCATTCCATTACTGACTTCAAGTGTCAGATATCCTTCTGACCTAACCACTTATTACTTATGCTAAATCCCTGAAGACTCTTATTTCCAGTTACCTGTTTTATTTTAATTAATTAATTTTGTTTATTTTTGAGATGGAGTCTCCCTCTGTTGCCAAGTCTGGAGTACAGTGGCATGATCTCGGCTCATTGTAACCTCCATCTCCTGGATTCAAGTGATTCTCTTGCCTCAGCTTCCTGAGTAGCTGGGACTACAGGTATACACCATGACACCTGGTTAATTTTTGTATTTTTAGAAGGAACAGGGTTTCACCATGTTGGCCAGGCTGGTCTCAAACTCCTGACCTCAAGTGATCAGCCTGCCTTGGTTTCCCAAAGTGCTGGGATTACAGGTGTGAGCCACTAGGCCCGGCCCTACTATTTTATTTTTATTATTTTTTAAGAGACGGGGTCTCTAAAACAAGCTTGTTTTGTTGCAAAAGCAAGCTCATATTGGACATGTTTTAAAATCTACTTTGAGGCCAGGAGTGGTGGCTCATGCCTATAATCCAGAGCTTTGAGAGGCTGAGGCAGGTGGATCACCTGAGGCCAGGAGTTCAAAACCAGTCTGGCCAACATGCTGAAACCCTGTTGCTACTAAAAATACAAAAAATTGGCTGGGCATGCTGGCACACACCTGTAGTCCCAGCTACTCAGGAGGCTGAGGAATGAGAATGGCTTGAGCCTGGGAGGCAGAGGTTGCAGTGAGCCGAGATTACACCACTGTACTCCAGCCTGGGCAACAAGGCAAGACTCTGTCTCAAAGAAAATAAAAAAATAAAAACCTATTTTGTGTTACATTTAATAGTACATCTTCGAAATTTTTCTATTATAATAAATATAGAGCTACATCATTTTATTGGTTGCATGATATTCATTGCATATCTGTATTTTTTGTTTGTTTTTAAGAGATGGGGTCTTGCTCTGTCATTCAGGCTAGAGTGCAGTGGCACAATCATAACTCACTGTAACCTCTAACTTCTGGGGTGGAGTGATCCTCCTGCTTCAGTCTCCCAAGTAGCTGGGATTACAGGGACACCTGACCCATTGTATAGACATATCGTAATGTATTTAATTGTTCTCCTACTGATAGAAATTTGGATATTTTTCAACATTGCAAACAATGCTACACCAAATATCTTTACAATACTTTGTATGTTTATATAATTATTTCTCTGAAAATTCCATTAAAATAATATTCTGTTTTTACCAATTACAAAAGTAATGCATGTTCACTGAAAATTTAAAAAATACCGACAGGCCTATCCTCAGAAATAACAATCATTATCAATATTTAAGCCATGTTCTAACTTTAGGTATAAGAATACTGTCTAATAAGTAATAAGCTATTGCCAAGCCCTTTTCTTCCTGATTTTGGGGCTGCAAGACATTCTGCCACCTTTATGTGACTTTTATAAATATGGATTATAGGCCAGGCACCGTGGTCACACCTGTAATCCCAGCTATTTAGGAGGCTGAGGTGGGAAGACTGCTTGAGCTTGGGGAGCAGAGGTTACAGTGAGCTGAGATGGTGCCACTGCACTCCAGCCTAGGTGACAGTGTGAGACCCTGTCTCAAAAAAAAAAAAAAAAAAAAAAAAAGGTTTACATACTGATTTTTTTTTTTTTTAAGGATGGGGTTTCACCACCATGGCCAGGCTGGTCTTCAACTCCTGACCTCAGGTGATCCACCCACCTCGGCCTCCCAAAGTCCTAGGATTACAGGCGTGAGCCACCGCGCCCGGCCTACATACTGATTTTGCTAGTTTATCTTTGTGAGTTCTAGAGGCACTTTTCCCTATGACTCACCTATAGTCCCACAAATGTGTTTAAAGCACTTTATAATGAGGTTAATTTTCTTGTCTCATTTCCAGGGTTAAGAAGATTCGCAAATCACTGTAAAATTAAATACAAGCATGTTGAAGGTACATATATTTCAGGAAACGCCTATTTTGTTCTCTTTAATGTATACATATTGCTTTGTCTTTCCTTTGCTTTTATATTCTGCCTGTGGTTCTTCAGCTTGAACATCTTCATTTCTGGACTACTACTATGACCAATCAAGAAAGAATATCTTCTGCCCCAGATTGCTGGAGACACAAAGCTTCAATACCCCTGGGGTAGGCTGAGTCATGAAAGGCATATCATTATGGGCCCCCTAACATGGTGGCAAAGTGGCACAGTCTGCCTCCCCCAGTCTAAACCCGAAGATGCCTCAGATGGAAGAAATAAATGAGTATAATGAAGGAAACTAAAAACCAGCAGAAACGCCTGAAGAATTTGAAGGTGGTTATGATTGGTAAAGAAGGAGAATCATAATATTACCAGTTAAGGGCTGTGAATGCGAGTTGTCCAAGTTCTTGGCATTTTGAACAAAGAGTAGGGCAAAATGCCCAGCAAAGAAAGAATAAAGCAACAAAAGAACGAAAGCAAGGATTTATTGAAAATGAAAGCACACTCCACAGTGTGGGAGTGGCCCAAGCAGCTGCTCAAGAGCCTACACACAGAATCTTCTTGGGTCCAAACAGCCCAAGAAGTTTCCCAGTGGTCACTTCATGTTCACCTCATGTAAATAAAATGGTAGCTTGCAATCAGTCTGACTGGTTGCAGAAAGCAGCCAACCAGAGGCTGAAGTGAAGATATAAAGGTCACACTCCTGTGCAAACATTGCAGAGAGCAACCAATCAGAGGCTAGGGTGAAGTTACAAAATTATACTTCTATGCAAAGACTCGCCTGCAATCAGTCTGATTCCTTGCGAACAGCCAATTTCCCATCTGCCGTACAGAAAAGATCAAAGGGAATAGCCTCTAGTCCTTCCAGCAAAGGTCAAAGAGTAGCCTCTGGTCCTTCTGTTACTTAGGCATGGAAAGTTACGTTTTCCTTTCAATTTAGCTCTAGGAAGTTGGCATGCAGCCTCATGTTTGCTGCCTCCAGATCCTATTCTCCTGCCTCAATAACTCTGTACCGCAGAGGCCAGGCTTCCAGCATGGGGATTGTATTAGTCAGGGTTCTTAGAGGGACAGAACTAATAGGATATATAAAGGGGA